TGTTCCCCCACATATACTTTGGAATTCATTGAGAGTGCGGTATAATGAGACAATAACAGGCTACAGATGCGGACAACACACAAATATATTTATATAAATATATACAATTTAAAGTATGAGAGCACTCTCATAATAACGTAACACAATCAGAGACTGGATATATCCCCCTCTCTCTGGTCGCTGAAATGGGCAATTGAAATTACGGGCCAAAAGTTGTATTTACAAGTAGCCTATTAAAAGTAAGCATAGGACACCAAACCAACTGAGACCCGTCGGTCCGCCGCATTTACGCACTGTACAACACACACCTACACACTGTACCACATACACCTACACACTGTACCACACACACCTACAGCTCCTAAAGCATAAGCCGTTGTGTATTTTATTATGTGAAGCAATGGTCTTAGAAAAATATCGACTCTTTGTTTGTAGATATCTACTAAACTAAAGCAAATAAAGAGAGTAGGCCTGTTATACTGAGTGATATATATTATACACACTGCTCTGCTTTCTGCATGGACCTTACAGCTGTTCTCTCTGGAAACATCGCGACGCGATGAAAGCAGTTTCTAAAATAATATCCAGGGGATGCATGCATAGCTGTCATTGGCTGAGATAAGTCCGGCCGTGCGTCACGCCTCCACCGTTCCCGGAAATGCATCCGTGGAGGAGCCGTGGAGGAACCATCAGTGTATCCTCGGTTAGAGCTCCTCCAGAGAGCCTCCTCGACGCTCGATCCTCGGTCCTCGGTGTGCATTTAGAGAAATGAGATGTCCTTCACTACCGAGGACCGAGGAGTCGAGGAGGGGAAATTTGAGTATTGAGAAGCCTCTTATGATGGTTCATAATGTAAAGAGAGTCTTTGAGGTATTGAACAGCCTGCCGGGTTTCTCCTGCAAGCCGTTGGAAGGAGGTGGCTTCGCATTCCCCAGACTGCATCTTCCACCTAAAGCCATTCAGAAGGCCAAGGTTATATATCTCATAGAACCAAGCAGTAGCGTGGCGTGGGGAAAAATGTAGGGGAAGCCCATTTTTTGGGTCGGGGGGTGGTCAATAACGTAACCAGATGAGTGATTACAGCACCCGGTATCATTTTACACACATTTGTATCACACAGATGCAGGACTTGCACTCGCCTGTTATCTAACCGAAAGGTCCGCACGCACTCTCCAGCTGAAACTCTCCTTATTAATTTAAGCATTTTACTTATTAATGTATGCAGACAATCACACAATCTATGTGATTTTTTGGATTACCGTGCCTCTCAATTGCCCGTGACAGGTTGGCAAGGTCGATGAATCCTGAAGTTGCCCAAGGATTGTTCAGGGAGCACGAATCCTTGTCAAAAGAAGACATGGCCAGCAAAATAGACGCTGAAGTTTAGCGCTTCCAGTTAGCCACTCCGTGCGGACATAATTGTCCACATTGAACGTCCGATTCTCTCCCTTTTTCCTCTGTGTACACACAGCTCGAGTGCGGGCATTGGCCTGTCATCTGATTTAATTTTCAGTTGCTGCTGTAGCGGAAGTTTAGTAAAGTTATGTTTGATTAAGTACGCCAAATCTCCACCCTCCATAATGCTTCATTTGCTTGATAATTTTCTGACGGCGGTGATGACAGTTACAGTATTAAAACTGATGTTGATGTGATTTGATTGGATGGCAGTGTCCAATCAAATCGCTAGCCGCCAGCCGCCTCTGAAGGGAAGCAAGAGGCGGCTGGCTTCCCTTGGCATGGGCCTTGACCAATCACAGGTTGGCAGGGGCATCACGTGGGCCTCATCTGATTGGTCAATCCCTCCATTTTTTTTCACCAAGGGAAGCTAGATTCGGCTGGCCTCCTCTCGCAACAGAGAGTGCAATCTACTGTTTCACCATAACATCTAGAGGGGCGCTGTTTGTTTCACTCTTGTAAAATACTCAATGAGAATGGGGGAGCGACGGGCCGGCAGCAACACACAGCAAAGGAGAATTATCGAAACAAAACAAAGTGTTTTTATTTATTTATTTAAATTATAACTACAATCCGAAAAAAACAAGGGAAGCCTGGCTTCCCTTGGCCTCCGGGAGAAAACGCCACTGGAACCAAGTACACACTGCAAAATCACAGCAATATCACCAACAATAAATAAAAGTGTCACATGTGGTAATTAATCATTTGGTTATGTTTTTGTTTATATTAGGAAATGGAAATGCAACCAGATTTTTCTACTGAGACTCCTGGAGGAAGCTGGTGTGTTAGTCAAACATGGCATGGAGAACGGACCAAAGGAGGGCACCCACATCAGGTAAAAATATTTAAACTGCCTTTACTAAGCATTTAATTTAATTTCAAACCTTTATTTAACCAGGTGGTCCCATTAACATCATCGATCTCTTTGTCAAGGGAGACCTGCAAAATAGTTTTTCCTAGTAAAAAATAACCAGACCATAATGCATTACCGCACATCCATAAGACATTACAATGTGTTTTGTAACTACATTAACATCTTTATAATAATGCATGAGTACTATAAGGGGTGGACATATTTTACTAAGGTTTCAACATTTATAACGCGTTATACTTCAATGCCAAAGGGATCACGGAGTTCATGTAATTGGTCATCTATTAAAGGGCATGAAGCAATTTATTGTTAGAAAAAGTTTTTGTTGCAAAGCTAGGTACCTATTTGCAACCCATCCTAACATTAACCCAGTAGCTCAGCTCACCTTTCTACAGCAATGTCCTGCTTCACTCTTTGTTGCACATTCACAGCAGTCCAGGGAGATGGGCTTCTATTTCCCCACTCTTGTCGTACCATTGGACACTGTTGGTCTGATGTTGTGCGGTTTTAATTACACTTTACTTGTAGCAAGCATACACTGCTCAAAAGTCCTCGTAATTATGTTTAGTATCAACTGCTTATAACCCTAAACAGTCACTTTAGTTTAAGTTCACAAAGTCCTGTTATAAGTCCTTATAAGTCCTGTTGTAAGTGATGTTTCTAAGACATTTCAGAAATGGATCATTATGATACATATCTGGTCTTCATGCGTCTTCATAATGTGAATGGCTAAAGTAGTTAGAATACGTTGTGTTGGAATTTGATATTTGTTCATACAATGTCACTTTGGCATGGTATTATAAACACATTATCAGGTCCTATGAAGGTGCTTGTTCTAAGACAGACATGACCATCATTGAAAGTATAATTCAGACATGTTTATTCAGGATTAGTGGACTTTTTACCTTTAACTCTTTCTTTGTGCAGATTCTGCATTATGAACCCCGAGGACACCATGGAAGAAATACTGAGCCGCCTGAGCAGCTTTCACACAGTTTATGAAAGACTTTTCTGAATGAAGGCACTCAGAAAAAAGCCATGAATTATTATTGTTTATTTTGTTATCTATGATCAGTTAAATGATGAAGCTGAACTAACAATGGTCTGATAATTTACCTCATGTGAGCATTTTTTGCAATACATATGACATTCATTATTGCATGCAGTCCGTTTGACATTTGGTCTAGGTCAAATTCAACTTATGTTTTCCAGAAAAAACTAATATCCATAAATTACCGAACACAGTCCAAAATCCAAACCAATGGATTTCCTCACATCACATGGAAGTTCATCATTTACCTCAACAATACCAGCAGCACACTGCATATAACTTTTTTTTAATAAAAAACATCCCCATGAGACCACCATCCTCTTTGCTTCCTCTCTACCAGCCAGCCACACTCCAATGAAAGTCCTGGATGTCATTAATCCACCTCACTGTCGCTGTGGTCGGTCTGAGCAGAAGGGTTTGACTCTGTGTTGTTGAGCAGCTGTACCAGTAAGGAGATGAGCTTTCCGTCTTGAGAAGAGTTGATGATTGCGTTACTGGGGTTGCTGAGGTTGCGGTACATCATGCTCTGAATGGAGGTGCGTAGCTGCCACAGCAGTTCCCAGGTGTCAACCGGCAACTCACAGCGCACCAGAGAGCGTCCAGGAAATGAGACCTCCACTCTGTCTCCGTTCACTGGGACAGGAGGGAAAGGACAGGGTTATTTATGAAGAGGAGAAATGACTGTCTGTGAATCTAAGAAGGTGATAATATGTTATTGCTTCTGATGAGCATATCTACATAACAGTTTGTAGTTATTGTATTGAGCCAGAGCTTTTTAATGCACAATCCAAAATAAAAAAATGATGACATGGCAAATATGTCTATGGAATGGAAGACATAAGTTAAATAGTTAAATAAGTAAGTCTATTAACAGATATTAGAAAACAAGGGCTATCAAGATCTTGAAAAAAATGTATCAGTTAAAAAGGACGTCACTATTTATAAGTTAAACCTCGTCTAACAAATGTTTTGTTTACCACAAGCGGAAACAAGTTGTAAACACACACTGACATATTATCACCTTTATAGTTGATGCTACAAACTTGATAAGAAACAGTTGGCCATTTCCACGTTTAGCAGTTACAGAGCCACATTAGCATTCATTTGGATTTGTTTTTATCGGCTAACATGAACACAATATGAGATTAAATAATGTGATGACATTAAATCCCTATTCATTATGATTATCAGGGTTCTTTGCCCTAAAATCATTTCCCCAACCACCTAAAAGCACAGAGCCTTTGTTTTTAAAATCCTCTTTCTGGAAGGCAGTACACGTCCTACCTGTTTCTGTGATATCGCAGTCTGTGAGCAGCAGCAAGGCGAGGGGGTGGACCGTAGAACAGTCTCTGATGAAAACAGTCCCGTTGACTGGACAGCGCTGAAGAAGGTCAACCAGCGACTAGGGAGCTTTTCTTTCCCCTCTGCAACAAAAAAAAGCAGCCAACATTTTTACATATGCAATACAAGAGTAAAAACTTGGTGTCTTTGAATTTTGGTGTTTGTTCAAACCTGTTCACTGAGGAGCGGTGAAGAAGAACCGGCCCACTTTGTGTGCGGTAGACAATATTGTTGGGGCGAAAGCGGCCTCCTTTGTCCACAACACCTTTCTTCACCTGAGAAAAAGGTAGGAGTTGTAATTTGTGGAGGACATTCTTAAGACAAACTGATTATTCATGGTCAAAATGTGTCTTTTGTTACATTTAATAAAGTAATAAAGAAAGTCATTATACAAGTGAAATCGATTTAAAATGCAGAAACGGAGCAACTTCATCCTCAGAGGAAAAATAAGTTCTACACCCCGAACACAGCTTACAGTCACACTATATATTCATGAAAGGAAACAGCCAACTGGTCCTACATCCCATCATTAAACCCCCTTGTCCTTAACCATTTGCAAATCCACCTTTACACTTCCTTTTGCCCTCCTGAAATGTAAATGTCTCTGTTCAACACATAGAAGTCTAAAAATACAATTGAACAGTATCAGAGTTTAAGACTATACGTTTCAAATCATTATAAGATCATTTGACACAACATAAGTGAGCTTTCGAGAGACATCAACCTCAAAAACTGGATCTTACTTTATTAAGATAATGATATTGGCACCTTAGAAACATCACCACTAGAACAGAATATTACCTGGCTCTTCCTCTACAGTAAGATCTCAATCTCACAATTCTGGCTTTAACCTTTGATGGAGAAGAGCAGGTAAATAATAAGTATAATAGACTCCTTTGTTGTACCTGAATGAGGTTGGGATAGAGTCCAGCCAGCAGCACAGCTTTAAGCAGCTCGTCCTGGTGGCTGTGCTGGTTGTAGAGCGAAGTGTTGTGCTGGCAGTCCTGTGCACGAGTCACCAGCTGGGCTTCATGCAGGTTCTCACCGAACTGCATGATGAGACCTGCAGAGTGACATCACAACAACAAAATGATTTGATGTAAAAGAAACGGTAAATTAAAATGCGAACAATGTGTTGACGCAATGTGTGTGTGCTTGTACGAACCATTGATGAATCGAAGACTGAACCTGGACAGAATGTGTCTGTCCAGATATTCATCCCGGTCGTCTCTGTCCCCCTCATGCAGAACCCTCCTCCAGCCCAACACAGCTCTGATTAACACCAGATAGTCGCTGAAGCTGGAGTTGCTCAGATTCTCTTTCACCTGGACAAACACAACACAAACGTTAACTAATTACTAGCTGACTTTACATGGTGTTGTTTTACAAATTCCTATATAATATCGTAAAACCTTGTGGATGATTGTGGGTTTTACCTTGCAAATAAGACCTCTGTTCTGCATGCTGTTGTAAAAAGGGTCTCTGGTCAGGCAGGCGGCTACAGACAGCATTGGCAGGACACATCTGAACATGGCACTCAGTACCAGCACTTTGCCCAGACGAGGGTCACATGACATGCAGGACACACGCTCCCCTAAAGGAGTCAGGGTTTCATTCTTGTCCAGAACTCCTACAAAAGAAAAAAGATTGACAGAAGAGATGTTAAGCTCAGTTCAAGGTTCTTACTTGTGTTGTAGGTTTCTACTAGAACAGGTTTATATGCTGTCATCTTCAAAAAACATATTTGATTCCCCCCCTCAGGCTGCTTGAATATACCTGTAGTGAAAAAGTAGGTCTCAAGCTGTGGGACAGAGATACTCAGTCGCAACAGTAAATTCTAATCAGCCTGTCAATATGAATGGATGCTTGCCATGTGTCTGACCTCTAAACAAGGGTAGTGTTATTTAACAGTTTTTTGGGTTGTTGCCATCCAGATAAGTATGTGCACAGGCACTGAAGTGTTTTTGCATGATTTAATTTAATGCGATTCATGATATGAGAAACCGGTTTCATGCAAACCAGTTTTAACACACAAGAAACGTTGCTCATATCTGACCACACAATCCAGAATATCACTCACCAATGTCTTGTAGATTACGGACAGCATCTCTCACAGCTGACCGCTCTGGACTGTCCAATACTTGGGATAAGAAATCTACAGCCTGCACACAAACACACACAGAATGACATTATTTAGACGGCAGATAAACACAAAAAAGTGACGATTCAAAAATAAAAAATACACCAAAGCCTTTTGTTCCCTTTAAAAATACCATGCAGTCAGGACTGTGGATTTTAGCTTGAAGAACTAAATTCTCCAGTGGGTGCGCAGGATCTCCGGGATGGGGAAGGGCATCATGGTTTCCAGCTGTTGTCGTGGGAACAGATGGTAAGCCTGTCCTGGTTGACATCGCCCTGCTCTCCCCTTCCTCTGAGTCACGTTAGAATGAGAAATCCAAACTGTGTCCAGACCGGAGACCTGGAAAACCAAAAGGAATCATACTCAGAAAGGACAACAAATCACAAGGTCTGTTTTTGTAGATCTGAAAGAGTACATAGTCAAACTGAAACTGTGATGCTAACCTTAGTCTTTGGGTCGTAGTTCTGTTCTTTGTGAGTTCCTGTATCCACCACATGGACGATGTCATCGATGGTGATGGAGGGTCTCAGCGATGTTAGTGGCGAGGACGATCTTCCTCCGACCCTCTGGGGGGCGCCGGAACACCGCCTGCTGGTCCGATACTGATAAACTAGAGTGCACTAAAGAAAAGGGAAAATACAATTATTAAATCTTCTCTATACTTGGAGGACAAAGGTCGCTCTTTGTAAACTTGTCTCATACTTACATGGAAAGATCATCTGTGAGCCGGAGGAGAAGTGGCGCTTCTGCTCCAGTTTCTCTTGAACGGCCTTGATGTCCTGCCATCCGGGGAGAAACACAACACTGCACCTGAAGCATGAGGGAAGATTTTTTTGACAAAAATAATGAAGATCCATCTCCTTAAACTTTGGAAAAGCATAATTTAAAAAAGCAAAATGTGACAGTTTGTCAGATAGTTACCTGGGTCTCCATGTTTGTCAATGTGCTCGATGACATCAGCTATTAAATCTACATTTGGTGCGACATCGTCTTTTCCTCCCCTTAAACAAGATGAAATATAGCATCATGAGACACAAGGGAAAATAAACTCTGAGCATATTGAAGTTGGAACACATAAGACTCCCAGTCTCACCTGCTTGTCATTGTCCCTTCTCTTTTGGACTGGCGGTTGGCAGTCCCATCTCTGTTATCACATCCTCCAGGTATCTGTCCTTCACTGGGTGCATGAATCCGGGGACTTTAACTATCGGGCAGTCCCCAAAGTACTCGGACAGCCTCTGCTTGTCCCCAGTAGCGCTCATAAGCACCACCCGCAGGTCAGGGTTTACCTCTAAGGTGGAGCGCAGCAGAGCCAGCAGCAGGTCCGTGTTGATGTCCCTCTCGTGGACCTCGTCCACCACACGTGGCTGATTCCCTTCAGAGACGAGTTGGACTGCAGCTTCTTCAGCAGGACGCCCACTGTGAGGAAGAGTAAAGCTCCTCCGCTCTGCTTTGGTGGCCGGCTCTCAAGTCTCACCTACGC